TAAGATCTTTTGAGATTTGAACGTAATTTAAAATTATGATATATGGATAATAATGCCGCGTTAAAAATATATTACATTAATTAAATAATTTATAATTACTTTATCAATAATTTAGAACTTTTAAAAATTAAAATTTCACATATCAAATAATTAAGTTTATCATGCATTATAAATTTAATACTAATTGTATATAATTATCTCATTAGTATTTTATAATAATTACTTCAATATTTTATAATTATAACTTTACATATATGATATTTAAACTGATGATACGTTATTAATAAAGTTTAACAATAGTTATTTATAACTACCAATGGTGAACAAATGTCCCTCTCAACTTGGAAGAATTTACTTGCAGTAAATAGAACTTCTAAAACTTGCCCCCATTGTTCCAATACTTTTAAACCCACTAGATACAAATTAAAATATATTTAAGTTAAAAAAAATGAGTGTTTTTATATTTCACTTAATCCCAATAGATTTTAAATTTGTATCCATATATTTAAATTTAGATTATTTTATAAAAATATCACTTTATTTTTCATTTTGTAATATTATTTTATAAATTAAATATTTATTTTTATATATTAAATTATTTTTTATAATTTTTACATTTTATATAATTTATGCTTCCACTAACTCAAGATCCTATGTTTGCCACTGATAATTGACAACTATCTCATTAATGATTTATAATTATTATTTTAATATTCTACAATTCTCACTTCAATATTTTTAATAATAGCACTATTATTTTTAAAATTTTATTTTTTAAATTCAAATTTAAATTACACTTAAATTTTAAAAAATTTAATTATAATTTTTAAATTTTATAAAACTCATTTATGTATACATATGCTTGACGTGGTCAATGTATAATTGTTTTTAAAAAAAAACAATAAGTGAAGTCAAGCTGCCATTAATTCATGATTTCGTGTGTGTATTTGGATAATGATGTTAATCCATTTTTTGAAAAAAAAAAATCAATTTTTGCTTCAATTACACCCAAAGACCCACTTTTTTGGTAAATCGATTTGGGTGGCGGGGTGGATTTTTTCAGGCGGCTCCGAATGTGAGCTTTTGCGGAAAAGCCATAAAAAAAGATTGAAAAAATTATAAAAAAATCTAAAAAATTATAAAAAAAGTATATAATTTAATAAAATAAAAATAAATTCTTTTTTTAATAAATTTAAATTTTATATTTTAAAAAATTTACTAACATAAATTTTTATTAACCATCACCCTTCACTATAAAATTAATTCAAATAAAAATTAATTAGTAGAGAAAATTAATTTAAAATTTAGAGTCATGATAAAAATTATTATAAAGGTTTAGAGAGAAAGATTTTGCATCATTTAGAATATTGTTACATTTTTTATATTGCTAAAATTTTAAGGTAATACTTAACATTTTCGTTGAATATAACTCATATTCATTATATTATTAGAGATCAATTTATATATTATCATCTTTATTAGTTATTGTAAATTGATGTTTGATATTTAAGAATTAAATCTTTCTCTTCATTAAATTTATTTGAACTAAATATATTGAATTATTTTTTATGTAAATTAAATTGTTAGTATTAATATAATTTAAATTTTTATAATTAATCAGATATGTAATTTAAATAATATATTTTACTTCTTAAATAAAATTTAACAAATTTAATAATATCATATAAAAATATATTAATAATTTAATTTTTAAAAAAAATGTCTTTAATAGTAATTCAAATAACTAAAATTAATTTTGATTAAATTATTCAAACATCTTTAATTATATTTAATTTAATTTAAAAATATCCAAACAAATTACATTATAACATAATAATTATAATCAAAATTTACTATTTAATTAATTATTTTTATAATTTTTATATTTAACTAAAATTCAAACCGACGCTTCAAATTTTCATGGGATTCAAAAGGGTCCCCAAGTCAATTCAATTAAATAAGCATCTACGTAGGTACTAGTTGGATATTAGACAGAAAAAGTCAAAAAGATCGTTTCCTAATTATAACTAGAAAAAATCTCATTTAGGATCCCCAAATATAAAAGTTTTCTTTTAAACCCAATAAAATTTAAAAAAAAGCTTTACAAACTTGAGGGTCATTCTTGTAAATTTTGTTGTAGACAAAAGCTTACCTTTGCCTTTGTTTGAATAAATTTCCATATATGCATGTTTACAAATTCTTAATACATTTGTTCATAAATACACAATATATTTTCTGAACATATTTCAACTTAAAATATGGTATTGTTCTGTTCTTTCTGCTCATCACAACAAGTATTATTAGAATGAAATCTAAAATTTTAAATTTATTTTAAATGATTTGAATTTAAAATTTAAATTTTTTATATTATAAATTCATTTTTCTAAAATAAAAATTATAATTATATTTTTATCTGTTAAAAATTATTTAAAAGGTAAAATTAAATGGAATTAAATCTAGATGTTTAAAATCAATCTAAATTTTCTAGATTAATGTTAAACAGACTAGGACGAGCTTGAAGATTCAAATTGTTTTGATTATACATTTGACAATTTTAGTTTTATATTTTTATTTAAAAATAAAAAATTATTATACATGTTATTCTTTTGAAAATAAGAAAAGACAAATTATAAACTAGAAACAAAATAAAATATAGGCTTGTTTAATTTACTTTGACGATCCAAACGAAGAAAAAATGAATACAATCTAATCATCCTTAAAATAAGTTGTTCCAAGTAATTTAATTTTAATTTAGACATGGTTTGTGATTATAAGTTTTAAATATTTTTTATTAATTTTTAATAGAAACATGCTGACGAATAGTTTTTATAATTGTTTTTTTGTTCTTATATTTTCTTATTGTTCTATAGAACTTGATGCCATATTTTTTGAAAAGCAACATATATAAATATATATCGCAAAAAAAAAAAAAAAACTTTAGCCCCACGACGCACGGTAAGTAATAGTAGCTAGTACAGCAAATTGACGGGGAAATTGATCGGACAGGTATTTCAATTTTCAAGTTCAGTCCTCAACTATGATGTGACTGCTCGTCATTTACCTACTTATTCCATAAAATAAAAGGAAAAAATTATTATTCAGTTCCAATAATTTATTTTAACTTTTAATTCAACCCTCAAACTTTAGATTTGTTCTAATCTGATCCTCATATATTACAAATGTTGTACTTTAATCCCTATACTTCCTTTTCTTGTTTTTTTTTTGAGCACAAAACACTTTCTTAAAGTTTATACTAAAAGAAATCAGAAGAAAAGAAAAGGAGACTTGAAAAAGTGATGTTAATATTAATATGTAAATGTATAATATACTAACTATCCTAAAAACAAATAATGAATATCTTAATAATGATTAATAAATATAAAATATTTTTTAAATTTCAACAGAATAAATTTTAATAAATAATATCTCAATGGAATAAATCTGAGTAGGTACAAGAAAACTTTAGATACAGCTTGCTAGTTCTCACTTTAAGTGGTGTCATTTTCTTATTTTTTGTGATGGCAAAATAAGAAGAATGACAAAGTTGTCTCTCTGTGATGTTCTTCTTATCAATACCTACCGACTATTATTTGACAAAGTCTACGAACCTTTTCTTCAAGACAACAAAGAAAGAAAAGGGTTTTATGTGGACAAGACCCAAATAAAGATAAACTTGAAAATTCATTTTATTTTTAGACTTTTTTTAATGATTTTGACTATTTCTTAATTATTTAATTTATATCTCTTCCTTCACGGTAAAGGGGGCAAAAAAAAAAAAAACAGAGAGAGAGTCTCCCATGTGGTCTAGTCTCAAGATAGACTCCAAGGGAAATTAGAAGCCATCAAGGCATTTGTCATCACGGCTGAGGAAGCGTCCTTCGCAACTCCATCCAGAGTGTTGTATTTAGTTTTAATATTTTTTATTTTATATTTTTAAAATAAAAATTTATATAAATTATAAAAAATTTTCATAAATTTGTTGACTAGTCTGAATAGTTTAGATTTAATATAATAGTTTAGATTTAATGCTAAAAATTTATAAGAAAAGTTTAATATTATATTAAATAAATATTGTCCAAAATATACGTAAATAGTAAATTTATAAAAATTTTAATATTAAATACAAACCATTCATGTTAAATTTGGAATTATCCAAATTGGTGAATTAAGACTTTTTTATAATTTATATATTTTTATTTTAATTAATATAAAATAAAAAATTGGAATGATCTAGATCTACACTTCCTTCAAGGAAGGTGCGGAGGAGACTTTCCTAAGAGGAGGGAAGCCAGAGCCATTTGTTACAACAAGAGACTTTGCATATTTTTCTTATTTTTAGTATAAGACAAATTTAATCAATTTTTCACTTATAATTAAAAATGATAGTTATATATTTAAATTTTAATAAATATATTTTGTTGTTAGTGTAAGAATCTTATTAATATATTATTTATAAATATTTATATAAGTGTTTTTAAAATTTGAAGGCATGTCCAGTTCATGGTGGGCCTTAGCTTCTTAACCCAACTTACTTAAAATTTTAAAAATATATTGCTTTTTAATTTTACTCTTCTTTGTAATTAATAACATTATTAAATTCTTAAAAAAATAAACCTATTAAATTATTGTATAGAAATTCAAGCAATGATAAATAAACAAAAAAATTAAAAAAATTAATTACTTTAATTTTGCCTGATACTAAAGATAATTTAAAAAAAAAACACACACACAAAGGAAGTACCGTCTTTGTGTGAATAAATGCTCAGAGTCAACCAAATTAGGTGACAGATTGATTTTTATCGGAATTTACTTGCATGGCCAATGTGGGGTCCAAAGTATAAATTAATGTGAACCACAGGGACCAAGCGATAAATTTTTCCCATAATCGATTAATATCTAAATAATTTTGGGCATATGCCTTTACGAAACAAGACCCAGTGGCTCTGTATATGAACCAAGTCATTTCTGAAACTTCCTCCAAACAAGCAAAGCTTCTTAGTGATATCAGCTATGGGGATATCTCAGCACTGGAGATCAAAAAATCATGTGCTTCTTTCTCTGTTCATAACCAAGATTTTATTGCTTCTGATAATCCCAGCAGCTGGTGCGACCTCAATAACCTTCAACTATGAGAAATTTCTTGACACGGCTAATCAGAGCTTGAACCTTGAAGGAGATGTCTTTCAGGAAAATGGGATGCTCAACCTCACCAGGTAATAATACTACTCATTGTCGTTTCCTTTATTATGTTTTGATGGCCTTGTCGTTTTAGAAGAATCCTTCATCATCCTGCAATTTCACAATTTCTTCAAGAGGGTTGAGAGATTTGAAACCCAGCAAGATGAACACACTCTCCCTCGTGAATCTTAGTAGACAGCTAGTGGGATGTTAGATTAATCTTCTTAGGAATCCAAGGAAAATACTAACAGAAGAAAACTTTTTACTAAAGTCTTTGTTTGGTTTTATTATTATTTTTTTACAAGATATTTCGTAAATCAATTTTAGAAATTATTTTTTTAAACAAAACAAAACAAAATGGTAATCTGTTTATTATATAAATTTAAAAATAACTTTAAAATTAAAAAATGGCTGATAATAGAGGTTGCCCGTGGTTAATGGTATGATTTACGATAGTTATTGGCCAAAACTGAATATAATTTATAATAATTAAATGTGGTATATTTTAAAAATTAAAATGATAAAAACAATATTAAGATGTTACTATTTTTAGATTCAAAACACTTATTCCAAATAATTTTTTTAATTTTATTTTTGAAAACAGAAAACAGTTTTTTTTTCAAAAAAAAAAATCAAGCATACCCTTAAATTTTTAATATAATTAATTACTAGCGATCCATTCGGCACCCGCTCCACCAGAAATTGTTGCTTGAATTAAATACTCCAAAAGTACAAAAGTATAAAGTTATGTACGATACGAAAAAGTAAAGTTATGTATTTTGTTTTTGCCAAAATTTATTATGTATGAAAGTTGTAGGTTAAATCATACTTTTAATTTTTTAATTTCATATGAAGTTTTAATTTAATTTTTTAATTATATAAAATGTTTTTTAGTCTGTTAAATTTTACACAGTTGGTTTCTTCACAAAAAAGTTTTACATTATACTTTTAAATATTGACAATATATTATTAAGTATTAACATATTAAATTTGAGTTATTAAAAATAATAATAATTGCATAAAAATAATTATCTAAAACTAAGGTGCTAGAGTCAAAGGATTCAAAAAATATTTTATAAATTGACCGATTAAATTGAAGTGTTATAATGTTAGAGGATCAACAATATACTTTAGCCTCATATGTAAATAGTTAAAATTTTAAATGTGAATATCTTTTAAATTTCATTAATTTATTATATTACCTATTAAATATAACATATTAATACTTTCAATGTAAATAATTTATGAGAATGAATATTAAAAATAAAGGTAACAAAGTAAACATTAACTCATATATGAAAAAATATTAATAAAAAATAATAACAAAGACTAGATAATCTAGTTAAAAATGAACTGAATAATAATTGCTCACATTACATTTTAAATCTCTATTCATAACTATTATTTTTCTATACAGGTGGGATTTACCTTTAAATCTTTACCATATCTTTAAACAAGATTTTGATAATGACATCCTTGAATTTTAGCGCAGTAGTGCCCTTCATATAATGCTATCCCCTTCTTATATCAACTAAGTGTACTACTGTAGTTTTCATGTATAATTATTGAATATGAACGAGTACTTTTTCAAGGCCACATATTAAAGGGACCACTTAAATTTTCTCTTTTTATCAATTTTAAAAAATACACGAAATGTAAGAGCTAGAAAAAAATAATATTTAAAGATCTGTTAAAAATATTAATTACAATTAAAGATCCTAAATTAATAAATTCTAAAAAGGATGATAATTTTTAACTTGAATTAAAAAAAATTTGACAAATTTTTTCAACACTCATCTTCTATATTTTCAATATTTATTTTCTAAATTTTCAATATTCATTTTTAGCAATTTTACTACTCATTTTTTTTTAATTTTTCAGCAATTACCGTAGTTATTTTCAATGCATATCTTATATGTTTTCAGTAAGAAAACACTTATATTTAATTTTTTAATATTAAAATTATGGCAGATAAGTATTGAAAATATTTAATATGACTACTAAAAAAAATAAGTAATGAAAATATGAAAGATAAGTGCTACATATGAAAGATGAATGCCAAAAAATTCAATTAAAATTTTTTTAACTCAAGTTAAGGACCATAGCCTATAAAATCAATAATTGCATTAGCAGAACTCCAAAAAAATAAAATTTTATTGAATGACAAAAGTTTTGATCAAAGAAAATTGCATCCATGAACTTTGGGAGGACATTTATTACAAAAAAAGACCAAATAAATTTGAATTTGCTCAATAAGTTCAAGAGACCTAAGCATAATGACAATTTGTTGCAAAAAGATAAAATTATCCCTAATTATTTTTTAAAAAAATTTACCTCCCTCACCACCAGCTACCTATTATTGTTGGAGCTTCGAAATCGGTGATCAAGAAAGGTTTGAACCCATAATCTCTTGACTCGCCAAAACCTAATAGCCACTAAGTCACCAAATCTATTTAGTTATAATGGTCAAAAACTAATATGTGTACTAATTATAGTTAACCATTTTTTTGTTATGAACATAAAGTTGACTAGTTAAATTCTTCATTTTTTATTTTATTAATTTTATTTATTAGTCTGTCATAGTCAATTGCAAATTGAGAGGTTTGAAAATTCATTAACAATAATATGCAATGGTCAACTGCAATTTAGAAGGCCTGAAATCAAGAGGTATGTAAATGACATTTACAGATGAGAACTCATAAAATACATAAATTTTCAAACATTCCAATTTGCAATTGATCATCACAAGTTAATAAATAAAATTAGTAAAATAACACATGAAGTTAAAGATTTAAAGAGTCAGCTTTATCTTCATAATAAAGAAGTGGTTTTTAAAATTAAAATTGTTACATATATGTTAGGCCATGTTTGGTAGGTTGAAATTGTGAAGATGGAAATGGAATTGGGATAGGAATCTGAATAAAGTGATGTTTGGTAGATATGAATTACAATTCCTGGGAATCCTAATTCTATGGAAAAAAGCTAATTTTGATTCCTTATGTAAATCTATGGAATTGGGAGCAATTCTATGGAATTGTAATGTTTAAGACACTTTTTGCCCTCATACAAATTCCAGAAAGACAAATTTGCCCTCAAAAAAAAATAAAACCCTCATATGCTAGCAAAAAAAGAAAAAGAAAAAGGGAGTATAAAAGGGTGAATAATATTTTTTCTCATTATATATAAAGCGTTATAATATATATAAGATGGTATTATATATAATATTTTGTATAATTTATATATTTATAATATTTTTGGTATAAGAAGTAGAATTGATTTGTTTGACATTTTCTTTTAAATCTACATGTGTGTATTTATTTTAAAGTAGAAGGGATGGGAACCATTGCCAATTATATTTTCAAGAAAATGTTTCCTCTGATGATAAAACTTTTTGTTTGGCCCAAGCTAGTGAATAATAGTTACAAATATAATCTATGATTTATATAATATTTTATTAATATATAAAATACATAAGAAAATTGGTACACAATTAATTTTTTATTATGTTTTATTTTAATTTTTTATATAGGGGTATTTTTGTCTTTTAAGTATAATTCCATTTCCATGTCTTGCATACCAAACAAAAGTAATGCAAGGATTCCATCTAATTTTTCTGACATACCAAAACATACTTTTATAATTCAATTCTATTCCAATTCTGATTCCAATTCTGATTCCAATTCCAATTCCAATTCCATCAAAAACTATTCCATCATACCAAACGGGGCTTAGTTTTCCCATTTTAACTAGTTTTTGTCCATTTTAACTAAATAGATTTAGTGGCTTGATGGCTATAAATTTTTTAATGAGGATTTAAATACCCTCAGCAACCTTGGAGATTTGATGATTACCAGGCTAGAATTCTGACACCAGCAATCATCGTGGTGGTCCTGCAACCTTTGCCGGCGTCAAACCCTCATATCATGGAGGGAGTTTTTTCAGAAAGAAGCAAGGGAAAATTTTTCTCATTCAAAAAACAAGTTTCAATTATATTTAAATCTCTTATCTTGCAGAGTAATTTCAAATTTATTTGATCATTTTTTGTAATAAATAATCTCCAGAAGTTTTTTAGATGCGATTTTTTCCTTAATGAATGAAATTAAAAAATTACTGCTGGCTGCTAGAGCCATCAATGATGGTCATCTAGTCACCTAAGACCTGACCGCAATGTCGAGCTTGTAACTGTAGAGTCCACTAGCTGAGTGCTGGTGGCTGGGCCACTTCTTATTTTTGTTTTTGTTTTCCTTTTCAAGTTATTAACCTTTCTTCCTTTAAAAATAATTTAGTCCCAATCTTAAAAAGGCAACAATCTGGTATTTGCGCAATTCTCTAGGCAAGAACACTAATTAATCTCACTTGTAATTCATCTATTTCAAATTTGGGCTATATAATTGTTTGTTGATGATTGAAAACGAGGCTATTAAAATTTAAATGGGTATTATATAATAAAGGAAAAATTTAATTGTTAGTTCTTGTATATTTAGCATGCTTTGACATTAGTTTTTGTACTTTTTTCTTTGCTTCAAGTCCTTTAAATTTCATCAGTTTGCAACGTTAATCCTCATCACTGGTGAAATAAATTTACTAATGTGTGCAAAACTCTACTAATTCTATTGCTAAATTAGTAAAATTATAATGAGTTGAATATTCTATAAGCAAAATGACCAAGAGCCTTTCTATCTCCCAATCGTAGATATGGTGTCTCTTTCCTTTGAAAGCTTTATCTATGGCCAGTTTCCTGAATTTTGATTTATGTCTTTCTTCTTTTTATTTTTAATCTTCTATTCATTTTTTTACAACTCTTAAATTTTAAAGCACTAACACTAGAGACAGATAAAACTTAAAGGACTTGGAGCAATTTAAAAAAATATAAGAATTAATACCAAATACACTAAAATATAGCGACTAACAATTGTGTTTCCCTATAAATAATAAAGAAAATGCTTACGTAAAATTTTTTTATGAATTTAACAATCTGATTCTTGACCTCAGATACAAGAAAGATAGTGCAGGGAGTAACGTATAGCAAGTTGTT